GGCGCCTCCTGACCTTGCAGCTGCAGATGTCCCCTCTAGTGCAATCCCCTTGCCCCCAGCCAAATCCAGTGTCTCCCCCCTGCACCTCTCCTCTGACAGCCCTGGGCATTGCACCACCTCACCTGCTGCAAGTACAGCAGGGTGACCTCGGCGGCCAGCGCCCTGCCCCTGCACGGTGTTCATGTGAGTGATGATAGGGCATTCATTACAATAAATATTAAATGTTGAGTCCAATTTATACAGTAGTCCAGTGGGTTTTTAAAATGTAATGTTCATTTGCCTTCCTGAGTACAGTACAGTAGATCAGTCATTATGTCATGTGATGAAACCTCCTGGAATAGATTCAAACAGAGCTGGCAACCCTACCCCAGTGGGCTTGACCACTTTCCAAAGATGTGAAGCTGTGTGCATTAACATGTGTACCAGGTGGGGGGACTTCCTCTGGGAGCAGTCGCTCAAACCCAGGGCCTCATACTCTGACCCTTGTGGTTCCCCACTTCCTCCGACTCAGTGGGCAGTAGCCTGAGCAAGCCACTTCCAAGAGGCAGCACAGGATTTGGCTGTTGCTGTCAGTCCCTAGTTTTCCCCTTCTAATTTCTCAGAGCCATGAATACCACCAACTCTCATTAGCAATATACTTGCCTGCTCAGCACTGGCTTTGGAGACTCCTGCCCACCAAACTAACCATGCACAGCAGGCTGCGCCTAGTAAAGACAGCTGCCATCTCCCATGGTTTCGGAGGGGAACGAAGCCAGATTGCCCTTAGGGAAAATAAAGGGCCCTTCCATTGTCAGGAGACAGACACTGTCACTGTAGGGAGCAAACAAATATGGGGACAGAAAAGGAGGGAAGGTGAATGTGAAAGGAAAGCAGAGATGTCTAAGGGCAGGAAAGGTGTGTGGGAAAAGGAGTGGAGGGACGACAGGAGGGAACGTGAGGAGGCAAGGGAGAGGATGGACAGGTGAGTGTGAGAGGAAACATTAGGGGAAGCATGAGATCAATGAAGGGAGAACAAGAGCGAGACAGAGAAGGTCAGGACAGCACCACGGTGTCCAGGACAGCAATAGATTGGCATTCCCCACTCCAGGAGCTGGGGCTGAGAGACAATTCAGCAGAATTGGCACTGAGACTGGGAATAATTTCCTCCACAACCTTTATATTTTTGCCTGTGCAACTACAGACCCATCAGTGGCCCTTATGCACGTTCTTTCCATCTCCAACTTATTAACTCTGCTGTATCTTCTGCAAGTCAGCAGGTTGTGCGCCTCTGTGAGGGGCTGTGAGCAGACAAAAGAAGGGCCTTAACTGACATATTTTTCAGAGAATGTGTGTGAGTCTTCATGTTTACTGGATCTCTCCGTTCTTTCGGATCCATGGAGAAAGGCAGCATTAAGCATTTTTGCTTGGAGGGCGGGATAATCTTTTATCCAAGAAGCCTCCTGCTGATATTTGAAGAACATGAAACCTGCAGGCAAGGATAGGAATGGAGCCAAAACGATTTCAGAAACATGGAGGGTGTTAAGAATCTAAGCTAGGAAGTGAAAACCTGAGCGACTGCAAGTTTTGTACATTTTTAATAAACATCAACCTTTACAGAGGAGGTGAGATGGCTACACATGAAACCAGTGTATGTAGGGTACATTTTCAATAAATTAATACCCAGATAGATTTCAAATAAAAAATTCCTTTAGTTTCTTTTACAAAGAGTTGAAAAAATAGTTTCTCTTTTACAAAAAAGAGAAAGAAGTTTCTGGTATATCAGTCTCATCTTGTAGGTACTTGCAGTTATTTCTATTAAAAAATAAATATCAGGGGATTATGAAATACAATTCCTCAGTGCCTTGGTGATAAACATTAAACACAACTAGCTGGAAGTCTAAAATCTTCCACATCTATTATTTCACTCAACAGTACTCATCTGACCATGCTTTCCTATCCCTAAACTGTAAAATCTAAGTGCTGGAAGCCGAGCAAACTAACACTTCTTATTCTTGACAGTATGGTAGTAATACAAGATTCCCTATACAAATAGTACAAGACTCCTGAAGTAAAAGATGCCTAGTTATTAACCAGGACTCTAGTATACCATGTTCTGTACAAAACAAAATAGATATATTCCCAAAGACCTTCAATCACAAGCCCAGGCAACTCCATCTTGCTGCCACTGATATCAAATGGAGCAGGTTTGGGCTGGTAGATTCCTAGCAATATTTGGCTTTATTTTCTCAAAGCACAAAAAAGGTTCTTTCCCATGCAGGTAATACTGCATCAGCAGTAGGGGAAAATAAAACAAATCTTTATTTAAAAAAGATGGAAATTGGCAATGACTCAGCACTGTGTGCTAAGCCACTCATCCACTGCAAAGCATATTTCTCTCTCTCATTTCAGTGGGTTTCTCTGCAGTGTTCGATTAGCAGAGGAACATCCCAGGCTAAAGTGATGCAGTCCCACTTCCTTTTCTATACTGCTGTTACTGTAATCCATGGCTCTCTGAGGGCTCTCTGAGTAGCACAGTGCTTCTTGATGAGGTGGTAGATGAAAGCTATGATGATCAAGAACATGGACAGTATACCCACAGTGATACCAATCAGAGCCCCAGGGTAGAGGCTGTTGGCCTCTGGTGGTTCACGAGTGGGAACTGCTGTTTGTGGGTAAAGTTTGATCTCAACTGAAATGTTTTCATCATCACTTTCTTTTTTACATGTGTATGGGTCAGTGAGGACCTGCCCATCAGGGCAGTCACTTCTGAAGCTGCCTGGTATATTTGTGCAGATCCCATCACAATGCTGCATTTCACATTAATCTATGTCCACACAAGTCTTCTGACTACCCTTACCCTCATCCAAAACAAACCCGTCAGGGCAGTAGCATATATTCTGCCTGTGTGTGTCACAGTTTGCTGGGCACTGACTTTGGTTGCAATGTAAGACACATTTGTCATGGTTATGGGGGTCAGGGATATAACCTTCGAAACAACTGCATCTTTAACCACTGGGGACATCCTCACATTTTTGTTGACATCTTGTTTCATGACAATATATCACATCTTTGCATTTCCCCTCCACCAGCTCATAGCCCTGGTGGCACTGGCACTGGAAGCCCCCTTCAGTGTTGATGCATACTTGGTCACAGATATGTGGGCTGACTTGACAGTCATCTATGTCCTGGCAGCTGATGCCATCCTCGGCCAGCTTGTATCCCTTAAGGCACACGCAGGTGAAGTCGGCATCATGGGGGTTGTAGAGATGCTCGCAGGGGGTGCCAGCACAGGAGGTAGAGCAGCTGCGTTTGTCTGCCTCCAGCTTCCACCCATCACGGCAGGTGCAGGAGAGGCATCCATCCTTCTCATGACACATGCCCTCGCACACTCCATTCTCCACCTCACAGTGCCAGGCCCCAGACAGACCAGAGCTCCATTTCATGCCTCCTCTGCTGTATTCTGTGCAGACCAGCTCCAAGCCCAGTGCTTGGATTAAAGCTGTGGTCTGGGGAGGGAGGGCCAGGAGGTCACTGTCCTGTGCCTTAAAGGGGGTGGTGTAGGTCATGGCAGTGCTGGCCCCTGCAGACAACCTGGTGCATGTGCTGGGGTAGTTGTATTCACACAGGAAGCCATCTGCCATGAAGTCGCACTGCTGCTCCTCCAAACTCAGATCCTGGGATACAGTGACACACTGGTTCTTGCAGATAGGGATATCCAGCTTCCAGATGACGTAGTCAGGGCTTTCATCATCCATGACCCACCAAAAACCCACTTGGCTCTTGGGAGGCTTTTGTGCAGTCCTGGGGAAGCTGCAGCTCAATCCACAGGCTGGCGCTCTGGTTCTGCATCAGGGAGATGATATTTTCTTCCACCACAGACCTCATCATCAAGAGATGCCCATTGCTCCCCTCGCATACCTTGCTGGCTTCAGAGAACTGCTTCTGCCCCCAGAAAATAACAAAGCAGTCATTCTTGATGCAGAGGACCCTTGCAAGTCATGGATCAGTGGGAGCTGAAAGCCTGAGCTGTACTGCACTTACCAGAACAAGGAAGAGCTTCAGCATCATGTTGGGTACCGAGACATCAAACTGACCATAATTTGGCTACAGGAGTCCCATCTCGTCTAGCCTGAGTGAGCTAGAGAATGAGAATTTTCACTGTTGCTTGTTTTCGTTTTTGAGCCAAGCGTGGGAAACTTCAGTGATCCCTCAAAGTAGGTGCCCAAATTATTACAAGGATGCCAGCTGTCCCTCCTGCCTGGAAAATAAGGAAGTCCCTGTTGAGATGGGATGCAGCTGTGTATTATAGAGCAGCACAGAATCACATTGTTTCTGTGAGACTCTTCAGCTTTGGAGGACATTTTCACACATAGTAATGTTTCACTAACACCTACCTCCTCCCCAACTCAAGGATGTTCCTTCCTCTTGTCAAATCTTTTCCTGTAGAATATCAAGTGAGACAGCATCAGAAATCCAAAACATCTCTACACATCTTCAGGGAGGCATTTGTAGTCATTTTCTTGTGGTTAAACTCAAAAGGTGTAAACACTTTGAAGATGATAAGCAGCTGTCTGCTCTGTGCACAGGCAGCTGCAGAAGGAACAGGGGACTGTAGTCCTGTTTCACATCTGGTTTTCTTCACCCCCTCTTGTCCATCTAGGGGATAGAATAACATTTCCACTCCCTCAAGATACTACTAAGAGAACTCTGGTTAAACAGCATGACCTGAGATTACCTTGTCCATGTCAAGAGGGAAAGGTCACATCCCCCTGTCTGTGCAGTGTTCAGGAATCACTCTGGGCTTCTGGTGCCTGGAAACCATCCTCAGTAGTCAGCAACCAGTTGCAAATATATAACAAAGCAGAGGCTTCTGCAGTCCCTTCCACCAACTTCCTGTCTAGCTTCTCTTAAAAGTACAATTCCCAGCCTGGCTGGAACTAAAGAACATATCTGACAAGCCCTGCTGAGAGGGGGTGTGCTGGGGTGAGGATGTGTCAGATCAGAAGTTGTGTCCAGGAGGTTAAGAACACCCCACTTCGTAGGAGAGTTGTCTGCACCAATGTGACTCCAGTATTATTTTAAAAAGGCATTAGAGGATATGCAAGGAACTATAGGTCAGTGAACCTAACCTGGAAAACTAATTATGGTAATTTGCAGACTCAAGGCTTTGTTTCAATGTGTCATCATGAACAGAAATATCAAACGTTCTTTATTGTGGCACATTGGATCAGCAGAACATTTGGGCTTATAGATTCATAGATGCTAGGGATGGCTCAACAGATCATAGAATCATAGAATCATAGAAGTGGGGTCGGAAGGGACCTTGTAGATCTTCAAGTCCGACCCCCCGCCTGGGCAGGAGAAAAACTGGACTCAAATGAGTCCAGCCAAGTAGGCATCAAGCCTCTTCTTAAAGACCCCCAGGGTAGGAGCCAGCACCACTTTCCTTGGAAGTTGGTTCCAGCTCCTAGCCGCCCTAACTGTGAAGTAGTTCTTGTGGATGTCTAATCTAAACCTACTCTCCAATAACTTGTGTCCATTATTCCTTGTTATGCCAGGGGGCGCTAGGGGAAACAGTGTCTCCCCCAAACCCTTCTGGTCCCCCCTCAAGTCCGACCCCCTGCCTAGGCAGGAAAGAGTACTGGGGTCAGATGACTACAGCCAGATGCCTATCCAGCCTTCTCTAAAAGACCCTCAAGGTAGAGGAGAGCACCACCTCCCTTGGAAGCCCATTCCAAATTTTGGCCACCCTTACTGTGAAGAAGTTTTTCCTGGTATTTAGCCCAAATCTGCGCTTCATCAGTTTGTGACCATTGTTCCTTGTTACCCCAAGAGGTGCTCTGATGAACAGAGCATCTCTGTTCCCTTGCTGTGTTCCCCTAATGAATTTGTAGGCGGCCACAAGATCACCTTTCAGCCTTCTCTTGCGGAGGCTGAAGAGGTCCAAGTCCCTCTGTCTCTCCTCACAGGGCTTGTCCTGTAAGCCTCTGACCATACTCTGGACCCTCCTCTGGACCCTCTCAAGTTTGTCAACGTCCTTCTTGAGGTACAGTGCCCAAAACTGGACGCAGTACTTCAACTGCGGTCTGACCAATGCCACATAGAGGGGAAGTATTGCCTCCTCGGATCTATTTGTCATGCATCTGCTGATGGATGATAAAGTGCAGTTAGCTTTGCTGATGATTTCGTCACACTGGTGACTCATGCTCATCTTGGAGTCCACTATGACTCAGATCCCTTTCTGCTGAGAGGGTCACTTCCTAGCCTGGAGATGCACTGGATATTTTTGCATCCTAAGTGCGGCACTCTGCACTTGTTGTACTGAATCCTATTGTGTACTGCCCACTTTTCTAACCTGTCCAGGTCTGCCTGATATCATTCCCTACCCTCCGGAGTGTGCACTTCACTCCACAATTTAGTATCATTCTCAAACTTGGACAGAGTACACTTCACTCCCACATCCAACTCACTGATGAAAATATTGAAGAGTACAGGTCCAAAGACCGAACGCTGTGGGACACCACTACCCACATCCATCCAGGTCGATACCAACTCATCCACTGCCACTCTCTGGGTGTGACCGCTAAGCCAATTTGCCACCCACCGGACCGTGTAAACATCTATATCACAGCCTCTTAATTTATTTATGAGAATGGGATGAGATACCGTATTGAAGGCCTTGCTAAAATTGAAGAAAATGACATCCACCTCTACTCCTGCATCTAAGCGTTTCATGACCATGTCATAAAATGAAACCAGATTGGTCAGGCATGATCTACCTGCTACGAATCCATAATGGCTGCCCTGCTGCGTTATTTTTCCCACTGGACTCCCACAAATACGATCCTTCATAATCTTTTGAAGACCTTTCCAAGGATCGGGGTGAGACTGACTATAATTACTCAGATCCTCCTTCCTCCCCTTCTTGACAATAGGGACCACATTGGCCCTTTTCCAGCCCTCTGGGACCTGACCCAAGCACCACGAGTGTTCGAACAGCCGTGCCAGTGGTTCTGCTATGATACCAGCCAATTCCTTCAGTACTCTTAGATGCAGCTCATCCGGGCCTGCTGACCTGAACACATCCAGTCCATCCAAGTGACCCGGCACCAAGTCAGCGTCGACAGTTGGTGGGCTAGTTTCCCTCTGATGCCCTCTAAGAGCCCATTAGGAGACTTACCTTGACCCTTGTTCAAGAACACTGAGGCAAAAAATTCATTGAATAGCTCAGCCTTGTCCCCCCTGTCTGTTATTAATTGGTCCTTCTTGTTCACTAGGGGTCCTATGCTGCTCTGTGCCTTCCTTTTAGTCCCTACATACCTTAAAAAAAGACTTTTTGTTGTCTTTAATTTGTGTTGCCAGCCTCAGCTCTGTAGTGCTTTGGCCTTTCTAACTGCCTCCCTGCAAGTGTGGGCCAAGTAGGTATACTCCTCCTTGGTAGCTTCCCCCTGCTGCCACCACCTGTATGCCTTCTTTTTTGCCCTTAAGCTCCCTTGGATTTCCCTGTTTAGTCAAGGAAGTTTTTTGGCTCCTTTCCCCCTTTTCCCTTGTACTGGGATCGTCTCCCTCTGCGCCCGAAGGATCGCTTCCTTTAGAAGCGACCATCCTTCCTGGACTCCCATCTCGCCTATTCTGCAGTGCATTATTGACTAGACTCCTAAAGACACTGAAGTCAGTCTTCCTAAAGTCAAGCACTTCCACCCTACTAGTTATTTTACCCACCCTATGCCATATGGTGAATTCGATTGATTGGTGGTCACTATCACCAAGGTGACCATGAATCTGCAGCTCCCCTACCAGGTCATCCCCCATAGCCAACACCAAGTCCAGTAAGGCATTCCCCCTAGTGGGACCATATACCTCCTGCGTTAGGTTAGGTCTGGCACGCAGGTTAAGAACCTATGTGAACGGCTGGATTTGGCTGACTGCTCCTCCCAGCAGATGTCAGGGTAGTTTAGGTCTCCCATGACAACCACATCCCTAGACTGAACGGCCTCTGAAAGCTGCCTCAAGAATTTCAAGTCTAGCTTTTCCTCCTTGTGTGGTGGTCTGTAGCAGACCCCCACCACCAAGTCCCTTTCCCCTCAACCTTCATGTTTCCTATACCACAATGCCTCAACTTTCTCCTCCTCTGATCCCATTTTGATTAGGGTAGATGTATAAAGCTCCTTTACATAGAGCGCAACCCTTCCCCCTTTCCTCCCTAATCTGTCCCTTCTGTACAACCTGTAGCCCTCAATGCCTAGTCATGGGTAGGGTCCCACCAGGTTTCCGTTACCCCACTAAATCAAAGTTATTGTCTGCAAACAGGAGTGCGAGTTCTTCCTGCTTGTTCCCCATGCTCCTAGCATTAGTATAGAGGCACTTGAGCCCTTCGAATGGTGTCTTTGGTGTGTGCCCCCCCCCATTCTGATGCCCAAAGGGCCCCTTGGTACTTACCTGGGGTGTACTGCTGCATGTCTCACAGTTTGTACGTTCTAGACTCTCTCCATCTCCTGCCTCCCTGTCCCCCATTGAACCTAGCTTAAAGCCTGATGTAAGAGGTCAGCCAACCTGTAAAAAAAGAGACTCTTCCCTTTTGTGGAGAAATGAAGCCCATTGTATCCCAGGAGGTTCTTTGCATGGAAGTGTGGATCATGGTCTAGGGAGCCAAAACCTGCACGATGGCACCAACTCTGGAGCTACGGGTTGACTTCTCTGACACAGCTGACATGATACCTACTGCAACTGCTGACCTGGAGGATCGACGAGAAGACCACCTGTGCCCCTGTCTTCCTAAGCCTGGTCACCAGAGTCCTGAAGTCACTCATGATACATTCTGGACTACTCCTGGCTGCATCATTTGTTCCCACATGGAGGAGGACCATGGGATAGTTGTCAGAGAGCTGAATGGGGTCAGGAATTCTCGCTGTGACGTCCCTGATTCTGGCTCCGGGCAGGCAGCAGACCTTGCACGCCATGGGATCTGGATGACAGATGGGTCCCTCTGTTCCTCTTGGTAGGGAGTTGCCCACTACAATGACGTGGCGCCTCTTCTTCTGCTTATCTGGCCGGACCTCCGCTCACTCAGTGATGGTGGCAGGCCCCTCCAGTGCACTTTCCCCCACTGCACATTCCTCCAGTGCAGCCAGGGCCTCATATTTATTCCCCAACTGCACCGGGGGAGCTGTCTCTGTGGCAAGAGGTCTGGCCCCAGAGGCGACCATCCTCCACTCAGCAGCATCTGCTTCAGGGCATTCCCTTGCAGCTTCTCCACCAGGCATCTTGCCCTGCAGAAAATGAAAGTAGCCATCAATCTCTTTTTCAATTGACCTGATACCCCGCAGCCTGCTCACCTCTGCCTGGAGTTCCCTCACTTGCCCCTCCAGGGCCTCAATCCGGGCACACTTAGGACAGGTGAGGGGACTCCTGGCCCTCCCGCTACCCCGGACCTCTGAGGACCCACCAGACAACCCCTGTAGGCAGGGGGCCCGGATACTGCTGACTCGCCCAAAGACTCTGTCTGGGCAGAAGCCTCAGAGGAGCCCTGGGTGGGAGACACCATTGGGGCAGGGTCCCTGTCTGCGCTCCGAGTCACCATCGCCATGAAATCCCCATCACGTGCGCTCACCTGAAGACTTTGAAGACTCTGCCCAAATCTGCCAGCTCCAACGCGTGGAGTCTCAGGCCCCCCCTGTGTGAACTCTCGTGCAAACTCCGGCATGCTTCTGAAGAACACGCCTGTTTGCAGGGCCTGTTCGCGTGGCTCGGGAGCGCAGCTCCCACCCAGCACAGCTAAGTAGGGATGGGAGGGGAGGAAAACCCATTCCCGATTCCCTACAGCTGGCCCCGCTCTCCCTTCTCCCGCTGCCTGGCTTTTAAAAAAGACTATCAGGGCCCAACCCAACCCTTTAAAGCATTAGCACTTGTTGTCAGTTAAGAGATAACTTGCTTGTTTCTGGCTCTGTGAAGATGATCATTCTTGTATTCCACTCGCTTTCCCTTTAATAAATGAACGTGCCCTGTCTCTGCCAGTAGGTGGCAGTCGATTGGGAACTCTAGGTTAATGTAGTTGAAGTTATGTACATATATCTAGTGAGCAAGGGACAAAAAAAAGTATCTGTGAGGGACTTTGATTCCTCCTCATGAGCAGAATCTCTGGCATTTGCTGTGCTACATCACAAACCAGTCTCTTGTTCAGTACGCTCATCTGTAGAAGATGATTTGAAGCACTGAGGCCAACCTTCTTGGCAGGCATGCCACAAATTAGCCCTGAACCCTATCCAAGTACTGCTCTGAT